GTCAAAATTGATTGAAAAGCACGTTGCACGATCTCTCATGAGCTACCTGGTGGAGAACAGATTGTTGTATCATCTGCAGTCAGCATTTCGCGAAGGCCATTCCACTGATTCAGCTCTGATAAACTTGACAGACAAGATATTGTTTAATTTGGACCATGATGAGGTTACCGGAATGGTGTTTGTCGACTTTAGAAAGGCTTTTGACGTAATTGACCATAAGATTCTCCTAAAAAAGTTGGAGCTTTATAGAGTGACTGATGTAGCGTTGACCTGGTTTAAGTCCTACCTTTGTGATCGCTACCAATTTGTTTCTCTCGAAGGTAAATCGTCTGAATGCTTACCACTGACGAAAGGGGTACCACACGGTTCAGTCTTCGGACCTGTATTATTTCTGCTATTTGTGAATGATTTACCACTTCATTTACAATATTCTTCAGTCAACATGTTTGCTGACGACACTACTATGTCTGCATGTGCTCACTATTTGGACATTTCTTCGATGAATGATGGTTTAAATAGTGACCTTCATGCTCTTAATGAATGGTCGTTGCAAAATAAAATGTTCATAAATGCACGAAAAAACAAACTCCATGCTTGTGACTGGAAAAAGGATACCAAAGAAATTGGATTCACAGAATGACCCATGTCTGCAGCTCAAGATAGATGGCGTTGATGTCAGCGGTGTTGCCTCGAAAAAAACTTTTAGGAATTACCTTGGATTCTAAAATGAGTTATGAAACACATGTCGAGGAACTAGTGAAGAAGATTTCAAAACGATTAGGATTGCTTAAACATATCAGTCCTTATCTCAAGCAACATCAACGAGAAACATTTTATACTTGCGTTATCAAGCCCACTCTCATGTATGGTAGTGTGGTCTGGGACAGCTGTAATATCAATTGTCATCAAAGACTTTTGAAACTTCAGAAGAGGGTGGCAAGAATTATTCTAGATGTTGATAAAAGAACGCCTTCAATTGAACTTTTTAATAAGCTAAATTGGCTGCCTTTGTCGAAACAGTCTCTTATAAAAAGAACATCTATAACTTTTAAAAGAGTAAATACAGATTATGTTATCCCTGAATATTTAAGCACTGTGCTACTAAGGAACTCAGATATTCATACTAGAAATACTCGCTTTAATAATATGAACATGGTGTGCCCAAAATACACTAGAGAGACTGAAGGTGGGCGCACTTTCACCGTTAGAACTATTAAAGATTGGAACGCCCTTGATGTTACATTGCGCAAACAGAAATCTATATCTATGTTTAAACGCAGTTTGTATACTAAAATTTTAACGGACCAGAAGTCCGCCATGCGTTTAGAAATTGCTTAGGTGGGTGGTGGATTATTTTATTTGTAAATATAGTAGTTTTCGAGTTTTTATAAGTTTTAGTATTGTATTAGCTTAATTGTAGTTATGTAAGGAGGGCCACGAATTTATCAGTAGTTCACACTTACTGTCAAGTGTTTACCCTCATGAAATAAAGTCTGAACTTGAACTTGAACACTTTGGTAGAGTGTGTAGAGGAGCAGAAAAGAAAATACACGGCATGGGTAAAGATTCCTACTCTAGTGAAGAAACAGACAGTTCTGATGATGAATACCAGCAAGCCAAAAATTTGCATTTACTGCACCTCAAAAGCCTGAGGATCCATGAGGTTGGTAATGAAAACGACATGCCGAGAGATAACGAGTGGTGGGAAATTGTTCAAGTTGGCCATGGGAGATTGCAATGCCAACTGGATACAGGTGCACAGGCTAGTGTCATGACCGCTAAGCAGTTACAAAGTGTTGCTCCTAATGCACAGATTAAGAAAACACACAAGAGACTTGTGTCATATAGCCAACACCAGATTGTGCCCAGAGGATGCATCACACTAAAAGTGAAACACAAGGAAAAAGAGATCAAGGTGAAATTCTTCATCATTGACAAGGCACATAATCCAATCTTATCTGGAAAAGTGTGCAAAGCCTTAAACCTAGTAAAGCGAATACACGAAATCCACCACAACCTTAAAGAGCTTCTTATCCAACATCCAGATTTGGAAAATGCAACAGGATCGATGCCAGGGACATACTCGATTAAGATTGACCCAACAGTGACCCCTGTAGTACATGGTCCAAGAAGGCAACCCGCAGCGCTCCTACCAAAGATTACGAGCAAGCTAAAAGAAATGGAAAAAGAGGGGCATTTGGCAAAAGTAACCCAGCCCACAGATTGGGTTAATTCCATGGTTGTCGCACAGAAAGGAGAGAAGATCCGCATCTGCATCGACCCATCCGACCTGAACAAAGCGATAAAGCGAGAACACTACCCTAGTAAAACAGTGGAAGAAATTACCACGAAAATCCCCGGAGCCAAAGTGTTCTCAGTATTGGATGCCAAGAGTGGATATCTTCAAATGAAGATAGACTATGAATCCAGTCTCCTTACAACGATGAACACACCGTTAGGTCGATACCGTTGGTTAAAGCTACCCTTTGGCATCAAATCCGCACCAGAGATGTACCAGAGAGCGATGGATGACATGTTAGAGGGGATAGAATATGCATATGCCATTATGGATGATATTCTGATAGCTGGCCGTGACGTAGCGCATCATGATGCTGTCTTACGACAAGTCCTTGATCGTGCTCAGAGCTACAACTTGAAGTTAAACTTCGACAAGGTGAAGATCAGGAAAGAGGAAGTGCCGTACGTGGGACATCTCATATCAGCACATGGGCTCAAACCGGATCCCACGAAAGTCGAAGTGATGAAAAACATGCCAGCACCCGAGAACAAAGATGATGTCCGCTGTTTTCTGGGATCAGTTCAATACCTAGCCAAGTTCTTACCACGCTTGGCTGAGGTAGAAGAGCCGCTACGGCACCTAACAAAGAAAGATACAGTCTTCCATTGGGACAAAGCGGCATCTGACATATTTACGTTCAAGAGCAAAAACTATGTACTGTCAGTAGATTACTACTCCAAGTACATTGAAGTCACAGAACTCAACGACCTCTCAGCTTTTAGTACCATCGAAGCCCTAAAAGGACACTTTGAGAGACATGGTATTCCAGAAAGGCTGACGACAGACTGTGGCACACAGTATACAAGCGTAGAATTTAAGAATTTTGCAAAAGCCTACAACTTCCAACACGTTTTGATAAGTCCAAAGCATCCTAAAGCAAATGGAGAAGCAGAGGCGGCGGTAAAAATCGTTAAATCATTGTGGAGAAAGAACAATGACAAGCACAAAGCCCTGTTGGTCTATCGAGCAACACCACTAGCAGGCATTGATCTGTCTCCATCACAGCTATGTATAGGGAGAAGACTGAGAACTAACCTCCCGATAGCACGCAGTTTGTTAGAGCCCGAAGCATATAACACAAATGATATCAAGAGACGAACGCGCCATGCAAAGGAAAAGCAAACCTACTACCATAACCGCCATGGGACAAAAGAACTATCCCCACTGAAACCTGGTGAACACGTAAGAATCCGACCAGAACCAGGGTCGAAGCTATGGAGACAAGCAACTGTGGTCGACCATCATTCATCACCACGGTCGTATATTGTAGACACAGGACAACGAAAGCTTAGACGCAACCGAATAGCCTTAAGATTAGACCCAGGAAGATCATCAATGGGAGTAGCAGAGAATGATTACGATGCCAACGACGATATGAGCCACCACGAAACCCTTGATAACCCAAACCCGGTAAGCGTACCACCAGCTCATCACCCACCAGTAGAAACAGCAACGTCCACGGTGAAAGGCAAGGAAACGCCTGTCAAGAGGTCAGGATCAGAAACTCACCAAACACACTACACTACGAGAAGTGGAAGAATCAGCAGAAAACCAGCTAAGTTGAACATTTAATATATGAATGACATTATTCATTACTTAAAGACTTATAGACCTTTAAACACTTTTAGTTTTCGGGACATTTACTTTAAAGAACTCTTAGTTTCATATTTTGTTTAGTTATCCTTTGTTGACGTTGGAAGGGGGAATGTTATGTATTCAGTTAATTGTTAGAGATCAGTGTTGCTTGAGATTAAAGATGGCGGCCGTATGAAATATACAACAGTTGTATAGTTAATTTAAAATACAAAGTGTTTGTTTACCCTTTTCAAATTTATTTTGCAATAAATAAATAAATTTCGCATTTTCATCGTCACCGTCGGTATTTAATTTTGTGTCTGTGTCCGTCTTGACTTGCCTCATGCCTCAATCTTCCAGTTCGTGCGGCAATGCAGCATAATTCGAAATGTCTGCCGAATATTTTTCCGTTGTGTCATGTTTGTTCCCATATTGCAAAAAAAGTTCAAAAAATTAAGCGACAATATTTTTACCAAAGAAAGATCTGATAATGGACTAGTCGTCCTTGGATTTGCTAAGTTCTGGTGACAGTACAAGATATTAATATTTTACAAATCGAAGGCTGGTTGAAAAAGCGAAATTCGCAGTGACGATGAACCCGAACACTTGTTTGAAAATAATTCTCATTTACTCGTTATATGTTGGCTTCTAGTAGAGGATGAACATGCTGGTAAGAAGAACAAGTATTCCTTTGTCGATCTAAGAATAAGAGTGGCCAAAAAACGTTTAAATTTCTTTTATATTTGTAAATTTTAAAACTGTACGAACCTGGGAAATTTTTTAACTGTAATCAATTTTTTATGCTGTATTCGGCAAGCTATTGCAAAAAATTACGCCATGAAATTTAAGAGGAATAAAGATTTGTACCTTGCTAACACCTTGCATTTAAAAAAGCTAAGTTCTGGCTTATTTTTGAGATATAAAATAAAGGGAATCCATTATGATGTTCAGCTTTCATGTGCAAAATTTTTACGATTGTCTTGAACCATGCCATGTCAATTGTAAAAAACGTAAATAACCAGATAGCAAAATATGGCAACGATAGACTGCATAATTTCGGCAAAATAAGAGATTTAAAAAGTGTCTTCGAGTTTCGCATTAATATTTTGTTTTGATTTAATTAAATTTTGCACCTTCCCCGCTAGCCCCAGTCCTAATTTGCATCACACATGTTTCACGCGAATTACTGGCGTTTCGCCGCCCTATCTTATAAACGCCCTGGTGAATTCTAGTACTGCGTGAATTTTAGTACATGTAAAGGCATATTATTTGTCGACATTTGACTAAGAGTATTGTATAAGTATAGTATATTAAGTATTTATTACATAGTTGACATCGAAAATACTAAATTCATTAGTTCAATATGCTCTAGCTAACTGTGTTTATAAACCCAATGTCACGGGACTGAAACGTCATGTCCGGTTACTACATTCCTCCGCCCTAAGTTCTTTTCTTTTATTCTTTCTTAGTTTTCAAACAAACATCTTGACCTATTAACTAATAATAACTATGTTAGAATCACATTATATAATCATTCAGTTTTCGAGGTATCCTACATTGTCTTGTCGGATAACGTCTCTCAGAGTCACCTGATTCTTCAACAGTAGATTCACTTGATTCCTCTGTGGTCTCAGATCTGATTGGTGTCTGCCGTCGGATCGGATCATGATGTCACCGTACCACACTGGCCCAGTTTCCTCTATCACCTTACCGGTTGACCACTTCTCAGGAGCTGTGTAACTTCGTACCCACACTTCATCTCCTATCGAAAAATTGTTAGGCTTCAAATGTTGATCATATTTAACTTTCTGTCTATTCTGAGCATACTGCACGGTTTTTCCAGGGTCGGGCTGGATCAAAGAAAAATGGGACCGTAATTGTGTTCCCCAAAGTAATTGCACTGGTGCTTGGCCAGTAGTGGCGTGTGGTGTAATCCGATACTTGAACAGGAATCGCGACAGTCGTGTTTGCAAGGAACCCTTTTGTTTCTTCATCACTTGCTTGCTTTGAAGGTTTGCACGGCTCGTTCCACAAGACCATTGAAAGATGGATTATAAGGAGCTGATGTAACATGTCGCACTCCATTCTTTCTTAGGAATTCTTCAAATTCTTTACTCACAAAAGCTGGCCCATTATCTGATACCACCATTTCAAGTAACCCCTGACTAGCAAAAGTCATTCGTAGCTTCTCGACTGTCATCTCGGCATTAGACTAATTGGTCATGTGGATATCTAACCATTTCGAATGTGCATCAATAATCAATAGGAACGTCTTTCCCATAAATGGCCCAGCATAGTCCATGTGGATCCTAGACCATGGTTGATGCGGCCATTCCCACGGATGCATAGGTGCTTTTGGTGGTGCTTTCTGATGGGTTCAAATTCAATTTTCAATTTTATTTCACATGTTTACAAAAGATATAGTTAGACATTAATTACATCACAAAAAAATCATAATGGAAGGGGAAAAAAGGGAGTTAATTATGGTATTATATCGTGTACAGTGGCCAAAGTAGCTGAGAAACTTTTGAGTTGGCCACCGACAAGTAGAACAACTTCTGGCCCGTTCTTCAATCGCTTTATCCATACCCGGCCACCAAACATAACCACGAGCCAAACCTTTCATCCGCGACATACCAGGATGAGTTTCATGCAAGATGTCCATGACTTGACTTCTTCCCTGAGGGGGTATTACAACTCTCGATCCCCATAATAGACAGCCTTCTTGGACACTCAGTTCGTTTCTGGTGTGGAAGAAACTCCATAAGGTAGACGGTTATATCTGTACAAACCACAATGAGTATTAATCGTAACACATTCTTCCGAGTCATCGTTGAGTACCATTTGCTCATATGCATGGCTCAGATCAAGTTCGGTGAATTTTTTCCCACCTGCTAATTTATTATGTAGTTCCTCTATCTTGGGTATCGGATATGCATCTAGGCGAGAAGCTTGATTTACAGTCAGTTTGTAATCCCCGCATAACCTCACACTCCCATCTGGCTTGATAACGGGTACTACCGGGGTTGGCCCACTCTGAATACTGCACCGCTTCGATTGTCCCTTCCCTTTCTAACCTCTCTAGTTCCTTTTCAATTTTACTCCGCATTGAATACGGCACACTACGAGCTTGGTAGAAGGTAGGTTCTGTCATTGGTTTGAGATGTATCTTTGCTTTGATACCATGCAACATACCCAATTCTTCATTGAACAAATGATCATACCTTTTCAACACATCCTCCAAATTCACGTTCCCCAGGCGTCGAATGCTTGACCAATCGAGATGGATACTTTCTAGCCAATTGCGACCACACAGATAAGGCCCGGTACCGGCTAACACCAACAGTGGCAATGGACGGGTTTGGTTGCCATATTTTACGGTTACTTCTAGAATTCCCAATGGACTAACACGTTCGCCTGTGTAGGTATGTAGGATCACTTTACTCTCTTTCAACACCAAGTTCTCATTTCCTTGGCGTAGGGACTCGTACGTTTCGCGATTGATCACCGATAAAGATGCCCCGTATCGATTTCCATGTCAACATTTTGACCATTCACGTTAAATTTCTCTTGATACGGCAGTATTTTTGTCGATGAATTCGATATGTTGAAAAAAATTACAAGTCTCCTCTGGTTCGCCCTCAACTTGCTTGCTCCACCTTGTTCGCTTGAAAGTTTTGAAATTTCGATCGGTATCCTCTCATTTGTCGACCAGCACTTTGATCTTTCTTCGTACTTCGGCAAACCCTTGAGATGTGACCAATTTTTCCGCATTTGTGACATGTTTTGTTTTTAAAATGGCAGTCCTCTGGGTTATGTTTACCTCCACAACGAAAACAGGAATACTCGTCATTAACATTGTTGTCCTTGTTCATTCTACCCTGTAATTTATGCATCCTATTTTGACTGTCGATTGCATCACGCTTCAAGTCACGCATGTCTTTCGCAGCTGTTTCCATCCCAATAGCAATATCCAGTGCCCGTTTTAAATCGAGTGTCGATTCCGCCAACAACCGTCTCTGTATATGGTCTTCGTTAACTCCACATACTAACCAGTCAATTAACATTTCATCTAGAGAACTTCCGAATTTGCAGTGTTCAGAACGTGTTCGAAGCTCGGCCACAAAAGTCGATACTGACTCGCCTTCTCATCTAACCCAAGTATTGAATTTGTATCGCTGAACGATCTCTGATGGCTTCGGCATGTAATGGTTTTTCGCAATTTCGCCCAGTTCTTCATAGGACTTCGACTTTGGTGCTTCGGGTTGAATTAAACTCCGCAAGAGCTTATAGGGTCTTAGCTCCTATCACGCTTAGAAAAATCGAGCGTTTCTTGTCATCGTCGTCCATTTTGTTTGCTTCGAAGTAATGGTCCATTCGTTCAATGTATTGAGGCCACTCTTCGGTTTCATCGTATTCCTCTATTCTGCCGTATGTCGCCATATTTTCCTTGTCGCCAATATAGTATATTAAGTATTTATTACATAGTTGACATCGAAAATACTAAATTGATTAGTTCAATATGCTCTAGCTAACTGTGTTTATAAACCCAATGTCACGGGACTGAAATGTCATGTCCGGTTATATCATGTCCGGTTACTACAGTAAGGAATTAGGAGATTTTTTAAAATTAAAACTACATTGTGTAGTCCAACTGTCAAACCTTTAACTTGTCCTTGTTTATATTCCACTATATTCTGTGGTTTAACTGTGTGAAATACATTTTGATCACTCAGTGAAACTACACTGAATATGTCACTGGAGCACTCTACCCTTGGAGTTCGGAATTGTGCGTGTGTGTTACAAGTCTATGGGCTAATAAACGAAAAATGTACCACAAGCATGGCATGAGCCAGCTATTATGTACACAAATACAAGCTTGTTACTATAATATTTAAATTGAGGAATCCGGGAATCGATGGCATTTTGGCTCAATCGTTGCACTCTGAGCCTGCAATGCGAGAACACAAACTCGATTTCTCAACGACAAAGAAAACAGAAGAAAACAGAAAATTAGGGATTTAAGACACTTCACCTTTCAGGTCAGTGTAAAGAGTAACACAAATAAACACACTTATATATGCGATGGGCGACCAAGCGGAGGATGTAATATGACACTGTAAAATAATACATAACGTCTTTACATGTGTTAGCTGAACATTGTGAATATGGAGATTTGCACAACCAAATGATACGTGACTGCATTGTTGTTGGTCTAAAAGACTCAATTCTCTCGCAAAGGCTTCAAATGAACCCTGAACTCACATTATTTCTTTTTTATTAACCTTACAATCATATTATATAAAAAATACACATACAGCTATGATTGAAGGATTGGACAACAGAACTAGAATTCCATCTAACACTAAAACACGACATATTACGGACTGCAAACTGGACAATGTAAATACTGATTTTACAGGCCTTTATACTATATAAAACATGCAAGAATAAATACATAACTACACTACTGTGAAATTATTTGTGAGGTTCAGTTTTGACGCCCACCACCACCAGTTAGAAACCACAAACCACTTACATGCAAACCAGGTCAGCGTGAGGTAGTGATAGCGATAATGGAAGTCAAAAGTGACTCCAGCCATTTTACACCAGACTTTAGTCCTAACAACACATATTTTACAATATAAACATGCAAGAATAAACACTACACTATCAAAATCATTTGCGAGGTTCAGATTTGACCACCACCACCATCATCACTAGTTGGAACCACCAACCACTTACACGCAAACTAGGTCAGCACAAGGTGGTGATGATGGTACTGGAAGTCAAACCCCAAACCTCCTATTTAACACCAGACCAGCTACGAACAGCAGGTGATATTGCTCGAGTGACATTTCAAGCAAAGAGTTTTCCATGTCCTTGGACGTTCAGCATCAAAGTCCGAGTTTAGTTTATTAAGATAATGGGTATATAGTTCGGATTTGAATATAGCGCAAGAGTTCGATGACTTGATATGACTAGGCAGATTATTCCATAGTAGTATTACTCTGTTAAAGTAGGATGATCTGAAGGTTGAGGATTCACAAAGGTTAGGTCGACGTAGGTCGGATGAACTGAAACGAGTGGTGTGAAGGGAAGGTTGAGTGGAATATCACTCTATATCTACTTCGTAGCCACCAGATTTGCATTTATAGTAAAACGTTAGATCTTTAATTTCAAAACAGTCGGAGATAGATTGGCAGTAAATTTAAACTTTTCAATCTGGAAGAGTACGAGGAATGGTAGTCTTGTGTGATGAACTTTGTTGCCCATCTTTGACTGCCTTCTATTAGAACGAGGTCTCGAGATGATCCTTGGGGTGACCCACTGCTGTAAGACAGGTGAGATCTTACTAATGTCAGATATAGCAGGCGATGGCAGTGGATGTTGGTGAGCTGCATACAATGGCGTCTTAAGAATCCCAGCATTCGATTGGCTTTAGCAACCACATGGGCAATCTGATTTGACCACTTTAGGTCATCACTGATGAATATCCCGAGGTCTTTATGGGATATTTACACTCTTTATTTCTTCATTAGCAAGGTGGTAATTGGCTGGCATAATATTCTTCTTCCTTGTAAACCGCATCACGCTGCATTTCTGCACGTTAAAACTAAGTTCCCATTTGACAGACCATTCTTGAAGTGAGTTAGTATTGCGTTGGAGCAATTGTTCGTCATCAGTCGAGTTAATTTGTCTGTAGCACTTACTGTCGTCAGCAAACATCGGTGTCTAGCTGTGAGTGGTTTTCGTCCGGTATTTTGTTTACATAGATGATAAACAACAGTGGGCCAACTACACTACCTTGCGGGACGCCTGAAGTTACTTCGAGAAAGGATGATGACACAATATCGATCACAACAAGTTGTTTCCTTGAGCTAAGGTAGTCACAAAACCAGTTAAGCAAAGGGCCAGATATACCGTGATCTCAAAGTTTCTGAATAAGATTTGGATGTTAGACTGAATCGAAAGCTTTTGAGAAATCTAAGTAAACAACATCGGTTGTCTTTCCAGAATCCAGGTTCTTACCAATATGTTGAAGTACTTCCAGTAATTTGGACGGAAACCATGTTGAAGACATGAATCGAAGCGGATAATAAAATCACAGTTCAAGACATTTATGTCATCACCGATATGAATCAAGCTCTATTGTGTGGATCTGCAATTAATGCACTAGGTCTACTAAAACGGACATGGAATGTGAATACAGTCGAAATAGAAGTCAACAAAGTAAAAAAAACAGAAGTCAATGATCAAAAGATTCGTTCCCAGATTTGTTCAATGGTCTCGGGAGAATACAGAGTGAGTACACAATTAAACTCGCACACAACCTCACACAGTGACCACTCCAAGAATGATAGCCTTGTGTACTGAAAGTAAGAGCAGAAATAGGAAGAATGGAAGTGATCTCTCTTCACATATGGTAGTCATACCAAAACCAAATGCTGACGTCAGAATTTGTTTAGGCCCATCAAAGTTAAACGAAAGCATTTTGAGAGAAACACATCTTTACCGAGTGTTAATTATACACTGTCACAACTAGCTGGTTCTACAGTTTTCACAAAACTAGATTGCAACTCTGGATTTTGGCAAACTCCATCGTCAAAAGAATCCTCTCACATGATCCCAACACCGTGAGGAAGATATCATTTCAATGCCTTACCCTTTGGTATAACACCAGCTTCTGAACATTTTCAGAAAGAAGTGGAAAGGATTTAAGGATTGTGAAGGTATCTGCATTAAAATCGATTGTACATGGTTAGGATAATGTAGAGAAATTACGGTTGCCAATGACTAATTTTAAAAAGAACAAAACAATAGACACTCCGAAAATAGTTAACATTTTAACTATTTTCGGAGTGTCTATTGTTTCGTTCTTTTAATAGAGCATGACAAGCATTTAAAAAAGGTACTCAGAAAATTGGAAGATGCGGGAATAACATTAAATGTTAATAAATGCACATTTGGTGCAGAAGAAGTTAAATATCCAGGTCATCTTGTTAATTCAAAAGGAATCAAAGTTGATGCGAAGAAAGTTCACGCTATATTAAAAATGTCGTCACCTACCAACATGCAAGAAATTTGAAGATTTGTTGAAATGTGCAATCGGTTAAGTAAATTTTCTTCGAATTTAGCTGGTACAGTGGCGTAACGCTCATTAGTATCGTAACCTTAGGTACCCTTCAAAAGGATGTCGAATGGTACCAGTGGTACCATTGGTAAGATAGGGTAACAGATCGCGAAAGTAAGTTTACCAATCCGTGAACCAAGGGCCATGGCAGTTGGGGTACCCTTCAAAATCATGTCGAATGGTACCAGTGGTACCGTTGGTAAGATAGGGTAACGGTTCGTGAAAGTAAGTTTATCATCCGTGGTGAACCAAGGGCCATGGTAGTTGGGGTACCCTTCAAAATCATGTTGAATGGTACCAGTGGTACCGTTGGTAAGATAGAGTAACGGATCGTGAAAGTATGTTTACCATCTGTGAACCAAGGGCCATAATAGCAGTTGAGGTACCCTTCAAAATCATGTGGAATGGTACCAGTGGTACCGTTGGTAAGATAGGGTAACGGATCGTGAAAGTAAGTTTACCATCTGTGAACCAAGGGCCATGGCAGTTGGGGTACCCTTCAAAAGGATGTCGAATAGTACCAGTGGTACCATTGGTAAGATAGGGTTACGGATCGTAAAAGTAAGTTTACCATCCGCGAACCAAAGGCCATGGCAGTCCCAGGACCCTTCAAAATCATGTTGAATGGTACCAGTGGTACCGTTGGTAAGATATGGTTACGGATCGTGAAAGTAAGTTTACCATCCCTTAATTATGTTCAAATTGTTGCAAAAATCGATATTTGGATGCGTATTAAAGCCTATATAATATACTTATTTATTAATATATAAACATATAAAGTGTTATATAGAGTTTTTGGCCACTGAGAAAAATAGTATTTATAAAACACACATAAAAAATACGATATTTTTACATGTGAAAATATCATTTGTTGTAAAACGCATTGCCACAGACGTTTTATTGTTTTTCACTGAATTTTGTTTATATAATAAACAGAAAAATACATGGGCGTGCGGAAATACCAGATTTATTTAGAGTGTTGAACATTGACATCTCACAAGTGAGCGCAGCGAACGAGTGAGATATCATGTTCAACATTATTCTCTATATAGCCTAAAGCGATTAGCTAATAATATTAAAATTTATATAATATATATCATGAGATGTTTTTAAAGCTTTTAATATATATGCATATGGACACTCGCACAGTTTGTAGTTCTGTCATACGATTACGGGTGTTTGGAAACCCAGGAACTACAGGAACAGGAACTACAGGAATTACAGGAACGACAGGATTTTCAGGAACAACATAAATCATAACAATTATTTAATTTATTCGTTAATTTTGCGGAAATTTAACAATTTTCCCGTATAAATAAGCAATTTTTCCGCGAAAACCACAGATAATTATAAATTATGACATAAATATAGAACGTGAAAGTGTATTTTCATACATGTATCACTGTTCAATCAAGATGGAAGGGCAGGAAAGCGAAAGGTTAGTGGTTAAAATTTGGTTTTGGACTAGGATGTTTGATACTGGCCACTGTATTTATTTCTAAAATAACCTTGTCTTTTATTACAGCACATCTAGTGAAAGTCAAAGTGGGACTAGTTCCGATGAATATATCGAATTTAAGGTACTAATATTAAAGGCAATTGTTAATTTACCTCTGTTAATTTACCGTCTTATTATTTTATGTCAAAATAATAAAAGTTATCGAATAATAACAACACAATTTACATATTTCATGTAAACCAATAAGATGGCCATGCTTGTATGTGTTCAAACGCAACTTAAAGAGTTGTTAACTATCAATAACGAACTGTATCAATTTTATTAAATTTTCTTCTATAATTCCCATGCGAAAATAAAAAAAGGAACCAGCAGACATTATTGTGATTTCTGACAATGAAGCAGCATCAGCCAGGAATGGTGATGGTACATCTTGTGACCCATTGCCTGTTGGTGGTACGTCTTGCGACCTTTTGCCAGAGGAAAAGGAGGATACACATGCATATCTAAGGTAATAGCAAATGCCTTGAGCTGTCGAAAGTGTTCGAAAACCTTTTATGCCCGGCCAAACTGGACAAAAGTGTCAAAAAAGCAACCTTACAGAGTTTGGAAAAATGCAGCATTTGTCATTGATCTTGGAGATCAAGACCCAATGATGATGATTCGTAATCTAGAATCAGATAACAATGGGGCATATACATGCATGGGAACAAGAACATCCACCTGGAAGACAGAAGAAAGTATTGATGATTTTGAGGTACAGGAGTTTAGGATGTTATCCAACAGAAATGACACCCTGACAACATCAGATCAATATCATTTAGTTAGAAAGTACAGGCGTTTTAATTCATGCAAAGATTTTAACAAAATCATTTCATATGCTATTGATAGATGAGGCACTATAATGAACAATGTTGCTTTTGTTCAATATTACTTTGATAGTGATGTAGAGAGGACGTTTGTAGTCAAACGGCATGGTAATGCTGTCTGTATTAGTGCTCCATACAAGAGCACCAATGCATCAACAAAAGCTATTGTAAGAGAGCTAATAAATGTAGATAAGTCTAAAACTATACATAGCAACTTAACAAAAGGAGTAGAAAAAGCAAGTGAAATGGCGACTTCGTGTAGTAGACAAACCATTTATGACATTAATCGATCAAAAAAGAAGAGGAATGTGACATTAGCAACGAATGCCATGAATTTTTATGACATCATTGCTATGATCAGAGAGCAAGATGCGCAAAAAATACTGAAAATAGATTTATACGCTACATTTCTGCATACCCCGATCCGGAACTCCTTCTTCTTGGTTATGATAGTCAATTTCGTGATCTAGATAGGTTTTGCACATCACCTGTTAATTTTAGCATTCTTAGCATTGATCCTACTTTTAACTTAGGTGCATTTTATGTGACGCCAATGTCGTATGAAAATTTGTTTTTGGTATCAAACAGAACGAAAAAACACCCAACATTTCTTGGACCTGTACTGATTAGCCATAATTTAGATGAGAGTTGCTACAGCCATTTAACTATTGTAACAACACAGAAGTCACCATTACTTGAAGATAATTTAATTGCATTTGGTACTGATGGTGAGAAAGCTTTGTACAATCAGTTTGGAAAGAAATTTAAAAGTGCTGTACATGTTTGCTGCATAGGTCATTTCAGAGAAAACTGTAAAACACACTTGAAAGGGGTTTCTCTTGAAAACCAGAACAAGATTTTGAATGACATATTTGGTAAAAATATTGAAGATATGCACACTATGGTGGTCTGATTGATTGTGAAAGTGAAGATATTTTCACAGCTCAATCTCAATTTATTATGTCGGTAAACTTCTGCAAGATCACACCAACTTTGAAAACTACAGTATATAAATAAACTCATTAAAATATGAACAATGTCAATACATATAAATATGTTTAAAAGGTTCCAAGTTAGCTAAAATTCAATATAATACATTTAAAAATGACTACTTAGTTTCGTTTTGAATTCACCTAATGAACTTGAGAGGACTAGTTCAGGTGGTAGCTTATTCCATTCTCTGATAGTTCATGGGAAATATGAATATTTAAAAACGTCTTTAGTTGCCTTAGGAATTTTGTATTTCAATGGGTGGCTGCCGTGTGTTCTAGATTCTGGGTGTAATTTCAAATACTGATCGGTGTTAAAATCTACAAGGTTATGACTTATCTTGTACATCATTGTTAATCTTGATTCCACCCTCCTCTCTTCTAATGTCTTCCATCCAAGCGTGTCCAACATACCTGTAACGCTGGCAAGTGGAGCATAGTTCTGCAAGCAGAATCTCGCGCCTTTTCTTTGGACTTTTTCTAGTGCCTTAATGTCTTTCTTGTAGTGTGGGTCCCATGCCTCACAAGCATATTCCAGTTTTGTCCTTACCATTGTTTTGTAAACAGTTTCCCTAACATGTTTTGGACAATTCCAAAAATTTCTTCGTGCCATTCCAAGTAATTTACTGGCTTTACTTGCTGTGTTTGAGACATGCTCCGAGAACTTCATTTTGTTATTTAGGGTGATACCCAGGTAAGCGACCGACTCGACTTGCTCCAACTCTGTGTTACAGAAAGAATATTTCCTTTGCGGAGGGTCTTGATATGCATAACACTTTACATTTCCCTGGATTGAACTTCATTTGCCATTTCTCCTGCCAGGTTTCCAACTTGCTAAGATCATCCTGCAATTCATCACTGTTTGAGCTTCCCGAGATTAGGCCGTACAAAAGCGTGTCGTCTGCAAACAATCGAACACTAGAATTCAGTGCATTTGGCAAATCGTTGATGTACAAAAGGAACAATAACGGTCCCAAAACAGTTCCTTGTGGGACGCCCGAGGTTACCGATGTTGGTTTGGCTGCTTCCCCTTCACAAACAACTGTCTGATAACGATCCGTGAGAAATGATTCAAGCCAATTATTCAGGGGCCCTTGTATTCCGTAACTTTGTAATTTTCTCAACAGGCGTTGATGTGGGACTTTGTCGAACGCTTTTTCAAAGTCCAGAATGACAGCATGTACAGTGGAATCATTGTTAATAGCACTTGAAATATCGTGGATAGTACCAATCAATTGAGTTACAGTCGACCTTTTGGCCCTAAAACCATGCTGTAAATCAGTTAAGATGTTATATCGGTCGAAATATATGTGGCTATGCACAATATGCTAGAGCACCTTGCTAGCGATACAGGTCAACGAAATTGGTCTATAGTTCTTAGGGTCGGATTTAGAGCCTTTCTTAAAAATTGCCGTGACATTTGCATTTTTCCATTTCTTTGGTACGACACCAATGTCTATAGACTCCTGGAATATCTTTGTAAGTGTGGGGGCAATTTTGTTTGCATATTCCTTCATAAACCACAAGGGAATTTCATCTGGTCCAGGTGCTTTATCGGGTTTTAACACAGATAGTTGGGCAACAACCCCTCGGGCAGAAATAATTGGGGGATTAATACTAGGATTTGAATTTTCGGGTATTTTTGGCATATTACTAATATTTTCATGGGTAAAAACACTCGAGAAATGTTCACTTAAAAGTTCTGATTTATGCTTTCTATCACTTATGGACTCTCCATTAATCTCAAAGTCCGATATACCGACATCATCTTTATTTAATTTCTTAACGTACGACCAAAATCTCTTGGGGCTTTCTTTTATTGACTCTCCAAGAAAATTACTAACATAATTTTACCTAGCAGCTTTCAAGTCTGAATGTACTTTTCATTTGGATTCTCTAAACTTTGCCCAGTGGGATTCATTTCCTGACTTCTTTGCTTTGTTGTATAGCCTTTGTTTTCGACGAGTTTGACGTCTTAAGGATCGCGTGAACCATGGAAGATTGTGCCGTGAACTGGTGGTTTTGTGCGGCACACAATTATCAATTATATGTCGCATTGTTAATTCAAACTCGTCCCATTTATCATTTAGGGATTTTCCCTCACATGCTTTGTCGAAGTTTTCGGTAACGCTTGCAACTCTTTCCTAATACGATCTGAGTCCGCTTTCTTTCGAATATATACTTTCCGTTTAACGTTTGGTTTCCTTCTACAGCGAGAGTTAATTAAAAAACGCACAATATCATGGTCGCTTATACCGGGGATTACTTCGATGTCGCTAATATTATTTCTATTGTTAGCTAAGACGAGGTCTAAAATATTTTGTGTTTGAAGCTGTTTACGTGTCGGTTCCCTCACAAGCTGACACAGGTCGTGTTTGTCGACAATTTCAAGCAGCAACTCTGAGGTAGAAATATTCCCTGTGATTTGTTGGTTTTCCCATAAGATGTTGGGGGCATTGAAATCACCAGCTAATACTACGTTGTGTCGATGTAATTTATCTCCTAGGGCTGAGAGAGAATTGTCGAGTACATGTAGGCTTTTTATGTCGTGTGCATTTGGGCGATATAACGACCCGAACAAAATAGATTTTGCCTTTTTGTCTGCAAGCTGGCATTGTGTCCAATCTGTGTCAAGTTCTAATCGTTGGGTGACTATCAAGTCCTTTTTAATAGCCTGGAAGACTCGCCCATAACCATCGGGTCTGTCTTTTCTAAAGACATTATAATCGTTCGGGAATATCTCAGAGTTTGCAATATCTGGTGTAAGCCAAGATTCGTTCCCCAAAACAACATCAGGTTTATGTTCGTTAACTTTGTTCTTAAGGCTTCGGCAATTAATCAATAAGCATGTTAATTTAGTCTGTTTAGTCCGTTTAGGTTGAGTGCGTTTCTTGCTTCTATTTTGATTTTTCGAAGTGCCATTAGTTGTTTGTAAACACGGATTTGCCTCAACGGCCCCAGAAAAGTTAAGCAAGTGGTATCTGTTTGCCGTATATACAGTATTGTCCGTAGCCTTAGGGAATCCCAGACAAAAATTTGATTGGTTACACTGAGGGCAAAGCCAAGTATGGTGAGAACTAATAAGCTGTTCGTGTTTGCTTGAAATTTCACAACACTTGAGGTGAAATAACCCATTACATTCGCAACATTGCATATGCTTAATTCTGTATGTCTTACCGGTTTTGAGCATATACCACAGGAAGGTCCTCTATCACCAGGGTTTATTTCTATGTCTCCACCAAGTATAAGCAGCATTTGTCCCAGTAGCGAATGTCCAAAGTGCATGTCGTTCGCTTGTCCTGAACGTATCCAGCGGCTGGCCAATTCATATCCAAAATGTATGGTTTCCTTTTGTGATAAAGGTACTATTTATTTAAGTACCTTTATCAGGTACTTGATTGATGCTTGCCACGCCATTGTTCCTGATAGATTTATTGCATGGTTCAGAACCGTAATTCCAGAAATCCTTTCAAGCATGCTGGCACCAGTGCGGGAAAAAGCTGGTTTGGGTAAGCCGCCACTCTCTTTCTACAACTATCGAAGTGAATCGATAAATCATGTCATAAAAGAGGGAGTTCAATACAAAAAGCAAGATCTCCCTGATTTTATTTTGTCTCTTCAAACCATCATATCCAGTCAAATTGAAATGATTAAATTAGTGATTTTTCAAAGAAGAGGAGACTATAAATTTATTGAAGATTTAAAATACTTAGAAATTCAATTCAAGTGTTACTGTGCAAGATGTTTTACAAAAATCACCTGATTGAAGTAAGAACAACACTAATGCAGTTGATTATCTTGATAAAACATTATCAATTTCATGGCAAGAAGTACGCATAAGTAATTCGAGTTTGCATAACTGCGAATGTGCGGTCAAAGTTATCTGCCGATCAGCTAAACTGAAGTGAATAACAATATATAGGTCTGAATCATTCTCGTACCCAGAGCCCTTCTTACGTTTCATCGAGCACGGTGAGGAACTCTGGCCAAATCCATATAAAAAAAACACTCCTGCTCGTTTATTAAACAGTACATAACCTCTAGCTAAAATGTTAACCAGAATACCAGATAGTGTTTATTTGAGATAGCTATATGTCGAATATCGATATCTGTTTCTTTTGCATTATAATTACATTGTAATATGCAGTGTAATATTAATTATTATAAAATAGAAAAGACAAGTAAAATGAATGCCGAAATATAGCTACTAAATTTTGTTAGTTATTGCTCCCCCTCGAAAGTGGAACGGCATTGTACCTAGCTTTTTATCATTACTCATTAGGCTCTTTCATTATATAAGCTTATAATGCGGACAAAAATTATTGGTTAATTCAGGTTGCCTACCGTGAACATCTATATAGGATCAGGCGGAAAAAGGAATGAAACAAATGGGAGATTTACAAAACTTGTGCGACTGGTGCGACCATTTTTACCAGGATATCCGACTAATCCGAGAAAACACACTAGATATGAATAGCATTATGAATATAATTCAAAGTCCATCTCCATGCCATTGTAACTCGTATCTCTAGTCATGCCATTGTAACTCGTATCTCTAACTCAAGTTCTCTATCTGTCTTCGCAGTTTTCCGTACCTTGCGGGGTGGCCTGTTGTATAAAATTGCTTAACTGCAGTCTGCAGTTTAACTACATTTTGGGTATAGTTAAATTGCAGTTAACCCTAAAATTTACGATTCGATTCTGATTGGACAACCCTTAATTAAAATGCTGTAGACTCCGTTTTGCACATGCGTACATATTGGAGCCTCTTGTTCGTAATATAAGCAGTTTAAGTTGAAATGCTTGATTGTGCTACTTGGATAATTTATATTACTGTGGAAACAGAAAAATATATAAAACTGCCATAACTTTGTTGATAAATTTCATTGTTTTGATAGAAATGTAAACAAATCTGACGTGTGCTAACGGATTATACAACACCTTTATAACTCTAGTTTATAGTTAACCTTTTTATAAACCGGCCCCAGGTCATGAATTTAATATACTTTTTCATTCTTTTGCAGCCCATGTAAACGTCACGAAAAAAAACAAAAATAACTCCCGAGTATATGACAGAAGGCACATACTGCGGGCTGTTCTGTGCAAAGATCGGGAGACATCTGCTCATGAAGCACAAGGTAGAGGAAGAGGTTGTGTCGGCCTTGCGACACAGGGTGATTACCTTCGTCTCCAGGGTGATTACCACCATAACATGAATACACTGGAGACGGGTGAAGGCGAGTTAATCACAGTAAGAAGACTGGGGAACGGCGAGACGAAAAAAAACGTTCAGGACTTTCTTCCCTGCGAGTTTTGTTTGGGTTTTTTCCGCAAGTGGGACTTGTGGAAGCACCAGGCTTCATGTCCAAATAACCCCCCCCCCTCCCAACAACCCCGTCCTTACGACAACCCTGTCCTTAATAAGATCCTGTGTTACATGAATCGCGGTGCGATTGCAGATATTGTGAGGAAAGACGACTTAATAAAGATGCTTGGAGCATTTCTTTTGGAGAAAGAGGGAGAAAGGGATTGCCAGTTGGTCTCCCAGAAGATGAGGGAACTGGGTCGCCTTCTACAACAACTAATGGTCGTAGAAAATAATGAAGCGGTCCAGTTGTCCGATTTTATAAAGCCGGAGAAATTTGACGTAATAATAAAAGCTGTTAGGGAGACCACTGGCTTTATGCCGCCAATTCGTGGCCAGCAAGAGGTCAATATTCCATCACTCGCGTTAAAGCTCCGGCATTCTCTATCGAAGTGTGCTACACTTCTACACAATCAAGCGATTTGTGCGAGAAATGACTTGATGGCAAAAGAAATAAAATATTTCCAAAAATTGATGAGGTCGGAGTGGGAGTATAAGATCTCGCATCACTCCCTTTCCACATTAAAGGAACGGAAGATGAATGCCGTACAAGTCCTTCCTCTGGCAGAAGATATGAAAAAGCTAAGAAAGTTTGTCAAAGAGGCCATAACAGAACACTCCAGGCAACTCAAGCTATCCCCCAACGTCCAAAAACTGGACCGCACTTGCGAGGCTGCTTTTGGCGAGGGTGGTGATGTTAAATAAACGAAGATCTGGAGAAGCCGCAAAGCTATTACTCAATTCCTACCAAGGAATACCAGAGTGGAGAAAGAGTGCCACGTCAGAGATTCTGTCAAGCCTATCTCCATTAGAGCAGCGGCTATCGCAGCGGTAAGTAAACGTAATCTTATACTATTAATACTTCACCTATTATTTTGACTTGCCATAGTGACCGAGACTGGTCGTCGACACAATTAGCTTTATTCTAAGTTCTTTGTAAGTTTACATGGCGATTAAACATATAAGTTTTTAACATATAAAGCTTTGCAGTAATAAACAGATCCTTTCGCATCAGGTATAGTTGTTTCCTACAGTACTGTTATTCTAAAATATAAAGCAACCAGGCCCGGCGCCACGGAGGTATGGGGAGCCTTGCATTGCCCAGGCTACCCCCTAAAACCGTAAGGTCTCTATTATTACTACGGTCAATCCGTGGTTGGAATATAGAGCGGCTGTATTATTTAAATAATGCGTAAATCACAGAAGTACGCACCGATTCTGAAAGCCTGGAATCCAGTGATCAATATCGTACCAAAATTTTAAAATTTGGCGCAATATTTCTTGTGTTATTTCGACGATTTGGTTTAGCAATATTTTGGTCAACAGAGCTAATATCTAGTTGTTTATTGCTCGGATTACTTCTGGCATTTACCGACGCAGTAAGCGACAATGAATTTGACCAATTTTGACCAAGAAGCAAATCCAATAAAGACCTTCATAATTTTAACATTACTATCAATATATAAGTATGCATGTATTATATTTTTTTATAATATAGCATTTTAAATTCTGAATGCTGATTGGCTTTATGTTTCTTTGTGCTATATTATAAAAAAAATATAAAACATTTTTCGTATTGATATACAGTTATATCAACACTCGTAAAAAATGGGAAAACTCGAAATTGTGTGAAAACACTCCTCCCTTCGAGCGTCGTGTTTCCACACAATTTCTCATTTTCCCAATTTCCACTCGTATTGATATTTAACAATTATTCGCCAAAGGCGAGGTGATTATCGGGGAATATTCGCCGAGACGAAGTTGAGGTGAAAATTCTCCGATAATCACCGAGCCCGAAGTGAATAACTGTTTTAGTATTTTTACGCAAGTCTTTTGTGTTATTTGGTACTGAATTTATTTTAATTTCCCTTATTTCGTTATCAGTAAACTTCCACAAAACTGCTAGCTGCCATTTTGAAAATTTCAGTTTTGATATATTCACCTGTAGGTGAATATAACAGCTTAAAACGTCACATTTGACCAATCAGGTTGTAGGATTTATTATGTTCACTTGTGCAAGAATACTAAAACTGTATATATCAACACGGAAAATGTTTTATATTTGTTAAATATGACATTATATAGCATGAATATATTCCATTATTCCCGATAAATCGTCGTCATTAAATAGAATGAGACCTATATATTAGTCTTGGTGTGACACATGAACAACATAAAGAAAATGTATCTCTATTGTCTGAAGGGCGAGTATTTCACACAATTTCGATGTTTTCAAACTGTTTTACAAGCGTTTTATATAACTCTATATCAGCATTAAAGCTTCTTTTATAGTCCTGTAAAAACCTTCCCAAGGACTCAAGATTTTATAAAAGTTAGGTCAGGGTTAGGGGTTAGTGTTGGGGACTAGATGCTGCGAATTTATCATAATGATTCCGACCACTGATCTGAAATAAGACTGGATAAAGCATCTGCTGTGCATAAGTGAAGCCAATGGCGGCCATATTGGATGGCCCACTGTTACTCCAATCTGGTGTTGTGGACATGTTTAACTCTTCCTTTACGTGTCTAGTCACTAGTGGGAAAGGACAAATATTGCCTAGATAAGAATTTTTCATCAGTAAGTAGCCTCTTTTCCCCCCTAAATCTGCCGGTGAATAACTAATGGGGGGGCATCAAATATGGCCGCCATCAGCGTCATTATAGGTGTATAAAACGTTCGAAAACTATTTCGAAGAGGTTTTGGATCTATATTTCACAAGTCAAATTAGGCGATGACATTTGCTTTATAGTCTAAGTGAACTTAAACAGCAAACGATTAGACCAGTCATGAATTTGACTGATTTATAAATCTCATCTTATTAAAATATTCTGGCTTCAAAATCGGACTACTGAATTCAATAGGATGCTTTATCCAGTCTTATTTCATATTAGTGATTCGGATGTGTTTAAAAAATTATTTATATAGTAAATTCAAAGGTGGAGCTCATGCAGGGAAATTTAACACCAGCAACTGTTTTGACAACCACTATTTTTAAGTAGGGGCAGCGAGGCTGAGCATGATATCTATAATTATTCATGTGAGGTCAAAGTTATCTGCCGATCAGCTAAACTGAAGTGAATAACAATATATAGGTCTGAATCATTCTCGTACCCAGAGCCCTTCTTACGTTTCATCGAGCACGGTGAGGAACTCTGGCCAAATCCATATAAAAAAACCCACTCCTGCTCGTTTATTAAACAGTACATAACCTCTAGCTAAAATGTTAACCAGAATACCAGATAGTGTATATTTGAGATAGCTATATGTCGAATGTCGATTTCATTATATAAGCTTATAATGAGGACAAAAATTATTGGTTAATTCAGGTTGCCTACCATGAACATCTATATAGGATCAGGCGGGAAAATGAATGAAATGAATGAAACAAATGGGAGATTTACAAAACTTGTGCGACTGGTGCGAGCATTTTAACCAGGATATCCGACTAATCCGAGAAAACACACTTGATATGAATAGCATTATGAATATAATTCAAAGTCCATCTCCATGCCATTGTAACTCATATATGCTGTTGCCAAGCTCTCTGTTGCCAAGCTCTCTGTTGCCAAGCAAGTTCTCGATCTGTCTTCGCGGTTTTCCGTACCTTGCGGGGTGGCCTGTTGTATAAAATTGCTTAACTGCAGTCTGCAGTTTAACTACATTTTGGGTATAGTTAAATCGCGTACATATTGGAGTCTCTTGCGTACATATTGGAGTCTCTTGTTCGTAATATAAGCAGTTTAAGTTGAAACGCTTGATTGTGCTACTTGGATAATTTATATTACTGTGGAAACAGGAAAATATATAAAACTGCAATAAATTCGTTGATAAATTTCATTGTTTTGATAGAAATGTAAACAAATCTGACGTGTGCTAACAGATTATACAACACCTTTATAACTCTAGTTTATAGTTAACCTTTTTATAAACCGGCCCCAGGTCATGAATTTAATATACTCTTTCACTCTTGCAGCCCATGTAAACGTCACGAAAAAAACAAAAATAACTCCAGAGTATACGACAGAAGGCACGCGTGCACATACTGCGGGCTGTTGTGTGCAAAGATCGGGAGACATCTGCTCACGAAGCACAAGGTGGAGGAAGAAGTTGTGTCGGCTTTGGGACACAGAAAAAACTCATCCGAGCGAAAAGCGATATTAACCAAGCTTCATCTCCAGGGTGATTACCACCATAACATGAATACACTGGAGACGGGTGAAGGCGAGTTAATCACAGTAAGAAGACCGGGGCATGGCGAGACGAAGAAAAACGTTCAGGACTTTCTTCCCTGTGAGTTTTCCAGGCTTCATGTCCAAATAAACTCCCCGAGTCATCTCACCAACACAGCAACAGACAGGTGCAGCAATCTGCAAAACTGTTGATCGCTCCTATATTAACAGCGAGCGACAACCCTGTCCTTAATAAGATCCTGTGTTCCATGAATCGCGGTGCAATTGCAGATATTGTGAGGAAAGAAGACTTAATAAAGATGCTTGGAGCATTTCTTTTGGAGAAAGAGGGAGAAAGGGATCGCCAGTTGGTCTCCCAGAAGATGAGGGAACTGGGTCGCCTTCTACAACAACTAATGGTCGTAGAAAATAATGAGGCGGTCCAGTTGTCCGGTTTTATAAAGCTGGAGAAATTTGACATAATAATAAAAGCTGTTAGGGAGACCACTGGCTTTATGCTGCCAATTCGTGGCCAGCAAGAGGTCAATATTCCATCACTCGTGTTAAAGCTTGGCCATTCTCTATCGAAGTGTGCTACACTTCTACACAATCAAGCGATTCTTGCGAGAAATGACTTGATGGCAAAGGAAATAAAATATTTCCAAAAATTGATGAGGTCGGAGTGGGAGTATAAGATCTCGCATCACTCCCTTTCCACATTAAAGGAACGGAAGATGAATGCCGTACAAGTCCTTCCTCTGGCAGAAGATATGAAAAAGCTAAGAAAGTTTGGCGAAGAGGGCATAACAGAACACTCCAGGCAACTCAAGCTATCCCCAACGTCCAAAAACTGGACCGCACTTGTGAGGCTGCTTTTGGCGGGGGTGGTGATGTTAAACAAACAAAGATCTGGAGAAGCCGCAAAGCTATTACTCAATTCCTACCAAGGAATACCAGCGTGGAGAAAGAGTACCACGTCAGAGATTCTGTCAAGCCTATCTCCATTAGAGCAGCGGCTATCGCAGCGGTAAGTAAACGTAATCTTATACTATTAATAGTTCACCTATTATTTTGACTTGCCATAGTGACCGAGACTGGTCGTCGACACAATTAGCTTTATTCTAAGTTCTTTGTAAGTTTACATGGCGATTAAACATATAAGTTTTTAACATATAAAGCTTTGCAGTAATAAACAGATCCTTTCGCATCAGGTATAGTTGTTTCCTACAGTACTGTTATTCTAAAATATAAAGCAACCAGGCCCGGCGCCACGGAGGTATGGGGAGCCTTGCATTGCCCAGGCTACCCCCTAAAACCGTAAGGTCTCTATTATTACTACGGTCAATCCGTGGTTGGAATATAGAGCGGCTGTATTATTTAAATCATGCGTAAATCACAGAAGTACGCACCGATTCTGAAAGCCTGGAATCCAGTGATCAATATCGTACCAAAATTTTAAAATTTGGCGCAATATTTCTTGTGTTATTTCGACGATTTGGTTTAGCAATATTTTGGTCAACAGAGCTAATATCTAGTTGTTTATTGCTCGGATTACTTCTGGCGTTTACCGACGCAGTAAGCGACAATGAATTTGACCAAGAAGGCTCATCGGGAAGCAAATCCAATAAAGACCTTCATAATTTTAACATTACTATCAATATATAAGTATGCATGTATTATATTTTTTTATAATATAGCGTTTTAAATTCTGAACGCTGATTGGCTTTATGTTTCTTTGTGCTATATTAGAAAACAAATATAAAACATTTTTCGTATTGATATACAGTTATATCAACACTCGTGAAAAATGGGAAAACTCGAAATTGTGTGAAAACACTCCTCCCTTCGAGCGTCATGTTTCCACACAATTTCTCGTTTTCCCAATTTTCACTCGTATTGATATTTAACAATTATTCGCCAAAGCCAAAGGCGAGGTGATTATCGGGGAATATTCGCCGAGACGAAGTTGAGGTGAATATTCTCCGATAATCACCGAGCCCGAAGTGAATAACTGTTTTAGTATTTTTACGCAAGTCTTTTGTGTTATTTGGTACTGAATTTATTTTAATTTCCCTTATTTCGTTATCAGTAAACTTCCACAAAACTGCTAGCTGCCATTTTGAAAATTTCAGTTTTGATATATTCACCTGTAGGTGAATATAACAGCTTAAAACGTCACATTTGACCAATCAGGTTGTAGGATTTATTATGTTCACTTGTGCAAGAATACTAAAACTGTATATATCAACACGGAAAATGTTTTATATTTGTTAAATATGACATTATATAGCATGAATATATTCCATTATTCCCGATAAATCGTCGTCATTAAATAGAATGAGACCTATATATTAGTCTTGGTGTGACACATGAACAACATAAAGAAAATGTATCTCTATTGTCTGAAGGGCGAGTATTTCACACAATTTCGATGTTTTCAAACTGTTTTACAAGCGTTTTATATAACTCTATATCAGCATTAAAGCTTCTTTTATAGTCCTGTAAAAACCTTCCCAAGGACTCAAGATTTTATAAAAGTTAGGTCAGGGTTAGGGGTTAGTGTTGGGGACTAGATGCTGCGAATTTATCATAATGATTCCGACCACTGATCTGAAATAAGACTGGATAAAGCATCTGCTGTGCATAAGTGAAGCCAATGGCGGCCATATTGGATGGCCCACTGTTACTCCAATCTGGTGTTGTGGACATGTTTAACTCTTCCTTTACGTGTCTAGTCACTAGTGGGAAAGGACAAATATTGCCTAGATAAGAATTTTTCATCAGTAAGTAGCCTCTTTTCCCCCCTAAATCTGCCGGTGAATAACTAATGGGGGGGCATCAAATATGGCCGCCATCAGCGTCATTATAGGTGTATAAAACGTTCGAAAACTATTTCGAAGAGGTTTTGGATCTATATTTCACAAGTCAAATTAGGCGATGACATTTGCTTTATAGTCTAAGTGAACTTAAACAGCAAACGATTAGACCAGTCATGAATTTGACTGATTTATAAATCTCATCTTATTAAAATATTCTGGCTTCAAAATCGGACTACTGAATTCAATAGGATGCTTTATCCAGTCTTATTTCATATTAGTGATTCGGATGTGTTTAAAAAATTATTTATATAGTAAATTCAAAGGTGGAGCTCATGCAGGGAAATTTAACACCAGCAACTGTTTTGACAACCACTATTTTTAAGTAGGGGCAGCGAGGCTGAGCATGATATCTATAATTATTCATGTGAGGTCAAAGTTATCTGCCGATCAGCTAAACTGAAGTGAATAACAATATATAGGTCTGAATCATTCTCGTACCCAGAGCCCTTCTTACGTTTCATCGAGCACGGTGAGGAACTCTGGCCAAATCCATATAAAAAAACCCACTCCTGCTCGTTTATTAAACAGTACATAACCTCTAGCTAAAATGTTAACCAGAATACCAGATAGTGTATATTTGAGATAGCTATATGTCGAATGTCGATTTCATTATATAAGCTTATAATGAGGACAAAAATTATTGGTTAATTCAGGTTGCCTACCATGAACATCTATATAGGATCAGGCGGGAAAATGAATGAAATGAATGAAACAAATGGGAGATTTACAAAACTTGTGCGACTGGTGCGAGCATTTTAACCAGGATATCCGACTAATCCGAGAAAACACACTTGATATGAATAGCATTATGAATATAATTCAAAGTCCATCTCCATGCCATTGTAACTCATATATGCTGTTGCCAAGCTCTCTGTTGCCAAGCTCTCTGTTGCCAAGCAAGTTCTCGATCTGTCTTCGCGGTTTTCCGTACCTTGCGGGGTGGCCTGTTGTATAAAATTGCTTAACTGCAGTCTGCAGTTTAACTACATTTTGGGTATAGTTAAATCGCGTACATATTGGAGTCTCTTGCGTACATATTGGAGTCTCTTGTTCGTAATATAAGCAGTTTAAGTTGAAACGCTTGATTGTGCTACTTGGATAATTTATATTACTGTGGAAACAGGAAAATATATAAAACTGCAATAAATTCGTTGATAAATTTCATTGTTTTGATAGAAATGTAAACAAATCTGACGTGTGCTAACAGATTATACAACACCTTTATAACTCTAGTTTATAGTTAACCTTTTTATAAACCGGCCCCAGGTCATGAATTTAATATACTCTTTCACTCTTGCAGCCCATGTAAACGTCACGAAAAAAACAAAAATAACTCCAGAGTATACGACAGAAGGCACGCGTGCACATACTGCGGGCTGTTGTGTGCAAAGATCGGGAGACATCTGCTCACGAAGCACAAGGTGGAGGAAGAAGTTGTGTCGGCTTTGGGACACAGAAAAAACTCATCCGAGCGAAAAGCGATATTAACCAAGCTTCATCTCCAGGGTGATTACCACCATAACATGAATACACTGGAGACGGGTGAAGGCGAGTTAATCACAGTAAGAAGACCGGGGCATGGCGAGACGAAGAAAAACGTTCAGGACTTTCTTCCCGCAGAGTTCCCTGCGATACCGATGTTTTGCGTATATAAAGATCTCTTATGTTATCTAATACAACTGATAATTTCGTAATTGTGTCACATGATAAAGCACTCTAAAGCCGATATCTCACTCCCGGAAAGGAGACTTTATATAGGGAAAGCTAAGTTATATTCATATTTGACACAACAGTCATGAGGAAATAAAGAGCAACACGAACAGTCAGTTTATTTTTAATCTTTCATTTTTCGGACCAAGTGAAGTATACAGTGTGTTGTTGATATAGTATAAAAACTTGCAAGAATGTAATTTGTATTCTTTCAAACTACAGGTAAGTGATTTAGAAGTAACATATTTACTTATTTATTTCTGATTACAACAAATGTGAATAGGATCTATTTAGTAATTTATTAACCCCCATAATATCAGCTGCATGTGTAAGTATTCTGTATAACTGACTCCTCTTATCTATACATTGTTATTCATTTATATGTAATATATTGTATAGGTACTATATAGTAATAGTAAGCTAATTTTAACTATATAGTATGTACAAATAAGGAACAATTTGTGATTGTATAGTATATATTGACCGATTCGAAATAAAGAGCAACACGAACAGTCAGTTTATTTTTAATCTTTCATTTTTCAGACCAAGTGAAGTATACAGTGTGTCAGGGCCTTTTTTAACATACAAGCTGGGGCATTTGCCCCCCCAGTCCCCCCTTGTGCCCCCCCACGAAATCACATTTTGCCCCCCCAGGAAAAGTCCCTTTTTCCTAAATGTATACCAACAAAACAGCGAAGAATAACAAATAAATAAACGGAAAGTAAGTTTTAGGCTTTATCCTTTGTCCTTGTTTAACAAAATCGATCTAAATTGTTACGTTTTTCTACCACTAAGTAATGATAAATTATTGTTAATAATTTTTTATTTTTTGGTTGCTCAGAAGGCAGGAAAGAGCATTTCCAGGTTTCAAATTTGAAAAATTTTCTGGAGATTATGCCCCCACACACGTGGCCTTCGGGCATTGGTATCCCCCTCTAATAAGTATAATGATAAATTATGGTTAATATTCTATTTTACTTTTTGTGCATTTTTTCCTTCTTTTATTTCAAATACAAGTATAGTTAGCATAAATTTTAGAGCAAATTTGGATGCTCAGAATGCAGGAAATGGCATTTCCGTGTTTCAAATTTCAAAAATTTTCTGGGGGAGTACACCCCCACACACGTGACCATTGAGATCCTCCTCTAATAAGTAATGATAAATTATGGTTAATATTTTTTTTTAAACTTTTTGTGGGGTTTTTCCTTCTTTTATTTAATTTTGGAGCGCATTTGGATGCTCAGAATGCAGGAAATGGCATTTTTGTGCTTCAAATTTCAAAATTTTTCTGGGGAAGTACACCCCCCCTCATTCATGCGTGCATGGTATATTCGGCGCACACGTGGCCTTCAGCCATTGCTATCTCCCTGTAATATATTATCTCACAGAAAGGTCCCTTTTCAAAAAATCCCCCCCACGGGAAAATTCTTAAAAAAGGCCCTGTGACAGACAGCCATAATTTTTTTTACCCAATCCATGAGCTAGTCAAAAACTTGATTACGCAACCCATATCTCTTCGGTACCAACCCCGGGTATAAATAATGAACGGTCCCTAATGGGAGTAATGCTATTCACAAATTATTGTATAGATTGACATTAATTTATCAGTTCGCTGAACATGAAACCAAATATATATCGTTTCGAAATCTATTTAACACGATCCTTTGACAAAGTTATACTGTGCACAAAGCATCAAAACAAAGACAGTCAGTTGTTTTCGATAAATCTAATATAGACTTTTAGATTTTTTGATGTTCAGTCGTTGCACATATGTGCTATATTTGTTTAGCTATATAATTCTAAATACCTAGTATTTAAAGAATTATGTAAGGCTGTAGTTATTACAACTTGCTATAGATGAAATAAATTTCACAAGAAAAACAACAAACATGCTGTTTCAACTTTTTCAGAAATGAACAAATAAAAAAAATGTATTAAAAAATCAAATCAGTCGCTTTCATCTCCTTAAGAATTAAACAGCCCTGCTAAACAAATACTGGCAACGCAGATTGTTTTATATGCGCACGGGTTAACGACTTCATCTAGTTTTCGGACTGAAGAAGGTTTCAAGCTATTTTCATGTGAGCGAGATATTTACCGTTCATGTAAACAACACAACAGTTTTATGTTAATTCACTTAAATTTCTTTTGTTTTTGGTGCATTATATGCTATAAGTGCATGGTACATTTAAAAACTTACATACTCCTGCATGGTATACCTATAAAATTAACGGTTACCTCGGCCCGCACGTAAGGTATGCTTTAATACTTTGGCCATGCATATATGCCTTAATTCTTACGTTGTATTCTATTAGCCAATAAAATTCAAATAGACTTAATATATCCCTTTGACAGTATCATCAATTTCGTATCAACTGCTTTAGCCAATAAAATCGAAAGGAATAAAGATCAATGTGAAACTGAACATTAAAAAATATTACAGAGTTTGCCGAACTACGCTGTCGTTCTCGGCACAATTTTGTGAATAACCTCCGAATAAATGAGCGCAATATTTGTATAGTAAACATACAAATTTGCAAGCGTTCTGACTCCGTGTCAAAAATTATGATCTTTCTGTCATTTGTATAAAACAACCTAAAAACTAGAAATAATTACAGTCTACATGTGCAAGTAGTAGTATTATGCAAGAAAATAAACCAAAGGTGACTGTCGATAAATTTATTGTATAAAACGTTTTTTAACTGAACCATACAAAGATATTTTCGTAGGTTCATATGATCCATATTTTTGTCAATAACTTTTTTTGCGTAGGCCTATAGCATGTATAATTTTTGCGTTGACTATATTTAAGGGTAATGATTTATCGTGTGGAATGCTTAACTATTCTATACTTTTCTTAACATTTCGGTATTCGAAAATTTTGTAAGAAATGTTCACACGCCTCCCGGTCTTAAACGGTAATTTTTAATTTAATTCTGTTTCTTTTTAGATTTTAAATGTATTGTAATTTTTTTGTTTTTTTCAATTACCTTAAATCATTAAATAGCCATGTTTTTGTTTACAATTTGGCATTTAAATCCTCCTCGCCATTTTTTTTTGTGCACGCGCATGCGCAGACATTTTTCCGCGGTGTTAGGACAAACAACGTCCTGAGCGCAAAATACCAGTACGCATGCGCACTGGGCTAAATCAACCAAGGGCCACAAGTGACCAGCGTTGAACAAATAACAAGTTTGAACACGCATGCGTATTCGCATAATATCGTAATAAGCTGTTTGCTTTTCCTGTATACTTGGAAGAAATCGTCACTCGTGCCAAAAATTATTCAACATGTTAAATGTACATTACCGCACACTGGGGGAATTTGCTCACGCAAGGAGTCTCGAGTGAAATGTTGCTAAGCACATAACTCTAGTGTGCGCCGAGCTTTAGCTCAATGTCAAGCCCTACACTTTTTGAGGATAAGGGATGTGACCGGCTAATTCACGGGAAGGAAAATTCATGGCCATGGCAAAGCAAACACACCTTACGTGAGGGGCCGAGTGAACAGCTAAGCAGGTAATGCGCAGGAAACTAAACTAAACAAAGTAAAGCTAAATTGTAATTACGATTTATGATAGAAAAACGTCTGGTTTAGCCACTGCCTGTTGAAGAGGTTGCCTGATCTCCACGACTTGTTTCTTCCGCCTGGCCACTGTGCACCACTGTTGCAGGAGCATCCCTAAAACCGTAATTAATCATACTTAAGGTTTACGTATGTTTAAGTTCACGTTTTGTACCATAGATAATATACTATATGCTAGATCTTGTTTTGCGTGGTTTTTGTAATGACCATATACGAACGTATATTTAAATACGTTTATTTTACTGTTTAGTACAGTTGACTGTTTTAAAGCGATAGGGAAGTTACCATGCCAACTGCTATGGTAATAAACCTATATGGTATCAAACCTACAGTACAGTAAAACAAAGTGCAATTTCCTCGTTGTCATACCTTCTAGTAAGGTAAGTATTGAAGGCGATTAGTTATTTTGATTACAGATTTTCACATTACGGTTACGCAGTTATAATTATAGCATGCAGCGTGGATATTGCTAGCCTGCGCGAACCCAGACGGCATTTCCCACATTCATTCTTTGCTCGGAAAGTGACGTTTGCGAACACGAACGGGAATTCGATTTCCGTGACGTATGTTTATTGTCTTATGTTAGCCAATTTTAAAACGAATGTTACAGCGAGACCACACGGCACACGTTAATGTGGGAGCGCGTGTATAATGCGTGTAGGACCACGCAACTTAGTGTGTAAGAAAGTCTATGCAAAACTTCGTTTGTTAAACAGAAAATCGTCCTTCTTACCTAGACACGCTGTGTTGCGTGTATATAAACAAACGATTATGCCAATCTTTGATTATGGGTGCATATTTGGATGGATTGTACAAAACACGTTTTTGATAAGATAGAAACGCATGAGAACCGAGCGATGAGAATTATACTCAAAACCGACAGGAGATCGTGCTCACAGGGCATAAATCTGCTATGGGACAAAGAACCTTCCAACCGAAACACATTCGGGAACTACAATATCTAAAGTTGCTGTTTTTAAATCTCTCTTAAATTCAGATGTTACGAGCCATCGTTGTACCCTGCGAGCAGAGCCTTATTTTCGTTTCGAGAGAATAAGGAGAAAATAAGGCTCTGCAGTATTCGTGTTTTGCTTCCATTGCGCATGCTCTGTCGGTTGCCTAGTTACAGCTTATATGAATATTTTAGACCTGTCTTCGCAGACGTCCGCCTTTATTACCAGCGAATCAAAATTCACCATCGTTTGATCCGCTTATCCGTTCAGGACTTCAAGCTCGCGCGAAATTGTAGAATGATATTAAACGTAAGGTATTTTGAAGATGTTATCAAATTTCAAACAAAACTCTCTTTAGTTTTCGTGTGTAAAT